CCAGTACCTCCTGGGGTGTTGCTGTTCCCAGTGCAGGGCAAGGGGTCGTCTAAGACGGCCCCAGACCCTGTACCAGGAACAGAACACCCCAATCGGCCTGTAGCCACCAGACGGCTTCGTGAGCAACGCGATGAGCGAGACCGAAATCTGGGGAGGCAGGCATCCAAGAGACTCCATCAGAGCAAGCACCATACTGAAACAATCCAGCGCTGAGTCTCCGAGGAGCGAAAAGTGGCGACAGTGGAAGCCATCAAGAGAAACGGCCGACTCCTTCCTATATTTCTTGGCGACCGACCTGATTTGGTCAGCAGATAAACGAGGAAGGGCGTCCAAAATGACTCCAGACGGCTTGGCCCCCTCACCACACCCCCACAAGGACGAGAACCGATCACCTTCGGCCTTCAGCAGCGACAATGGGTCGGAGACCGTGCAACCTTTGGCGCTGAGAGTAGCCGTGGGGGTCCAAGGGGTGGGGTCACGAATGATCTGGTGAACTCGTCTAGAGCCAACTTCTATGCCCACATGAAGCCAAGCAGACCAGTCAGACCGGGACTGCTTGGCGAAAAACTTGCTGGCGTTGCTGAGCTCATCGCGCACCTCAGTCTCAAAGTTAGCTAGATCATCAACCGACTGAGAGCTGGAGCCAGCAATCCGCGAGGCACGAGCAAAAAGCGCGTCTCGTGCACCGGTGTGGTTGGCAATGTGCGGCGGCGGCTCGACCAGAAGCTTGCCCAGCCTCGACGCCTGGCGATCGTCGCCAGAACGCCTAGAGAGCACAAAAGCTCGCCACTGAGCCGCCAGCCACTTGATAGACCTGAGTTCAGGATACTTCGTGCGGCCTTCGGCCGAAAAGATCGAGCGCCAGGCCAACTGAGGCCCCAGCCCACGGGTCCCGAACTTGGGAATCTCGGCACCCAAGATGGGCACCAGGTCCTTTTCAGCGTGGGCCTCAGTCGGCTGAGCCTCCGACCACAGGGATTTCCATCCACGCTTGAGGCACCACGAACTGGCTGCAGCAATATCACTACCTCTCAAGCGATGTTCCTGGCACAAGATGACATGAGCATGAGAATACCCTTGCAAGAGATCCTGCATAGTCCCCCAGGAATTGCAGTTGATGGTCCTAATGTTAAGCTCAACTTAGTTAGGATCAGGCGCCTGGCTGGCAGTGCAAACATCACTCGAGACGGGATGCTCAACGCCAGGCGCGACCGTGGAATGACCATCCAGGTCATCCCGATCGTCGTTCTGAGACCTAGTATTCCGAAAAGGTCGAGCAAACAGTGAGGACGACGGGCTATGGGCTCCGCTGAGGGCGTCGAACCTGGAGACAGGATCAGCCAGCGGCAACTCAAAACACGAGACAGAATGAAGGCCGGAGCTGCCGACCTTATCTGCAAGAGTGAGCACGGGATACAGCTGAGACGGCCGAGAGAAATCGAAAGGTGCGCTGCTCACCAGCCGGCTGTGCCTGCCGAGTTCAGGTCCCACGCCACTCAAAGAAGGAGGGAAGAGGACAGCATCGGCACGAGCAAGGAGCGACGACCACCTCAGACACTCCGGCTGCGCTGAGACCTGAGCCCCTCGGCATCGTAAAAACTTCGGCAAGCCTCGGCGACTCCAAAGTTGGACTTGGGCCGCAGACGGAGGCTCCGAAAAAATAGAATTGCAGACAAATGTTTGGCACCCCCCCTGGAGGGGTTTCCAGAAAAGGACCTCCAGAGGAAAGACCCAGCTGGGCCTATCAGGCGGTACCGGCTGGACCTCCAGGGGGGGGTGGTTGGCCTTTCGCGATAGCATCTGCCCGCTCACGGATGCTGCAGCCGGCCTCAGCAGATGGGGTTTCAGCACCTGGAGCTGCTCCAGAACCTGCCGCAGGGGCTTCCCCAACCACTGGAGCTGGCGCCGCTGCAGAAGGAGCCGTTGCACCCGTTGACGCCGCAGCAGTCGGAGGGGCCTCGCCACGCCGCCGCTTCGCCGCCAGGCGCTTGATGTGAGCATCGTGTTCCGCACGAAGAGCGTCCACCTTGGTCTTCGAATCCTTGAAAAGGCTCGCCGCCAAGGTCTGGATGCCCTCTCGGAGCTGGGCTGCACGGGACTCCAGCTCCTGGGTGTCTTCGGGCGTGAGCTCGTACTCCAACTCGTCGATCCTGAAGACACCATTGGCCGAGAGGTCCAGCATCTTGGACAATCTTTCAGCATCAAGAATGTCATCGATCGAGAGAGCAGGCTTGTCCACGGGCACCTCCTTGGCAGGAAGCTGGGAGTGAAGCTGGCGGACGAGCTCACCATGTTCCGCTTCAGATTCCGCCAGCTCGGACCTGAGGGAAGAGACGTGTGCTCGCTGCGCTTCCAACTGCTGAGCCATGTTCTCGAACTTGAGCACCGCCGCGTCGAGCTTCTTCTCAGAGGCCCGAGCCTTGGCGTGCGCCTTCTGGAGCTTGACCTGAAGACTGTCTCTCTGAGGAGCGGGCGCCGCGAGAGCCTGAGCCGCCGTGCGGTACTGCTTGGCTGCCATCGCATCGCCCATCTTCTCGCACAGGTTAGCCATCTGGGTGTACTCCTCAGCCGAAAGCTTGAGCGAGGCGACGTCGACGGCTGCGTGTCCGCTTTTGCCGGAGGACGGTGGCTTGCTGAACTGACCAGGAGGAAGCGAGACACAACCACCTTGGGCAGCTCCTCCGCCGCCGACACCTCCTGCGAGTGAATGAGATCCTGCTGCATCGTGCCATACACTGCCGGGCGCTCGTGGGCGAGAGGCTCCACAGTGCTTGCACCACGTAAACCAGCCCGCATTCCGACGACATCCGCAGCTCGGGCACTGCCAGCGCTGAGCACCAGCACCAGCAGCAGGAGGAGGTTGAAGACCAGGTAGAAGTGGAGGCCACGCCTGGCGTTGACCTTTACCGCCATCTCCCTGGACCCACGGCGCGTAGTAGAAGCCAAGGCCTTTCCCGCCTGCACCAGGCATCGGGCCGCCTCCATGGCCTCCCTGCGCCATGCGAGTATCGTGAAAATGGAAGACCGAGCCACTTGGCCCGCAACAGCAATATGCCGTTCTGAAGTCTGCTGTTGCAAGCGCAGGCAATCGCCTGAGCCAGAACGGCTGAGGAGGCGTAGGAGGAGGAGGAGGAGGAGGAGGAGGAGGAGGAGGAGGAGGAGGAGAGGAGGAGGAGAGGAGGAGGAGGGAAGAGGAGGAGGAGGGGGAGGAGGAGGAGGAGGAGGAGGAGGAGGAGGAGGAGGAGCAGGAGGAGGAGGAGGAGTAGAAGGAGGTGGAGGGGGAGGAGGAGGGGGAGGAGAGGGGAGGAGGAGGAGGAGGAGGAGGAGGAGGAGGAGGAAGAGGAGGAGGAGGAGGAGGAGGAGGAGAAGGGGGGGATGCGGAGGAGGGGGAGGAGGGGGAGGAGGAGGAGGAGGAGGAGGAGGAGGAGGAATAACATTAATACTAATAATAAGAAGACTAGTGCAACTAATACTGATAATACCAATAAGAATGCTAACGGCAACAACACCACCACCAGTACTACTACTACTACTACTACTACTACTACTACTACTACTACTACTACTACTACTACTACTACTACTACGGCTACTACTACTACTACTACTGCTACTACTCGTAATACTACCGATAGTATAATTACAATAATACTACTACTACTACTACTACTACTATCGTACTACTACTCATACTCTACTACTACTACTAATAATAATAACACTAATAACACTACTAATACTGCTAACAATACTCCTAGCAGTGATACTGCCAGTCGTGCAAAGTATTAGTAGTAGTTATAATAGTAGTATTATGACTAATTCTAGTAACACTAATGCTACTACTAATACTACTACTACTACTACTACTACTACTACTACTACTACTACTACTACTCCTACTACTAATCATAACATCAATAATGCCAACCATAACCCTACCACTAACATACGAATGCTACGAATAATACGGCTACTACGCATAATGATAACACTACTGATACGGATCATATGAATAGTAGCATGGAACAAATACTATAATACTAATAAGAGTAAGCAGAGTACTAATAACAAGGAGAATAAGAAGAGGAAGAGGAGAAGGATGAAGAGGAGGAGGAGGAGGAGGAGGAGGAGGAGGAGGAGGGGAAGGGGGAGGGAGGGGGAGGGAGGGGGAGGAAGAGGAGGAAGAGGAGGAGGAGGAGAAGAGGAGGAGGAGGAGAAGGAGGAGGAGGAGTCCGGAGGGGGAGGGGAGGAGGAGGAGGATGAGGAGGAGGAGAAGGAGGAAGAGGAGGAGGAGGAGGAGGAGGAGGAGAAGAGGAGGAGGAAGAGGATGAGGAGGAGGAGGAGTAGGAATAGGAGGAGGAGGAGGAGGAGGAGGAGGAGGAGGAGGAGGAGGACGAGCAGGAGCAGGAGGAGGAGGAGAAGGAGGAGGAGGAGGAGTAGGAGGAGGAGGAGGAGGAGTAGGAGCAGGAGCAGGAGCAGGAGAAGGAAGAGGAGGAGCAGGACGAGGATGATGAGGAGGAGGAGGACGACGAGGAGGAGGAATCATAAACATAATATTGGCACCAATAGAAAGAAGAGTATGATGATGAGGAGGCGGAGGATGAGCAGGAAGAGAGGAGGAGAGGCTCCAACGCCGAGCCAAAACATCCACGCAAACCGAAATTATGTGTGCTCGCCAGCGCGGACCCCCAACGTGCTACGTGGCGCAACGTATAGGCTGAAAACTGTTGGGGTGCAACTTCTGTGGGTCAACCTGTGAGGTGCAACCAAAGTGGCGCAACATGCGTGAGGCGGCGACGAGGCGGCGCCCTGCGGGCACCAAGCGAACACCCAGAAGCGCAGGGCAGCGCACGAGGCCGTGGGGCAGCGACGGGCGGCACTGTGCGAGAAGTCAGCAGCGCTTGCCGATGAGCTGGCGCAAGCACTGAGTGGGGAACGGGCCGCCTTTGGCTCCTCGAGGCCCCGCCGCGGGACCCGCGGCGGGGTGCCGCCGCCCACAGGGTCCGTGCGCGTGGTCTTCGGCGGCGACACGAGCTCGAAGTGGGTGCTGGCCGCCCAGCTCGATCAGTTCTTGCGGAAGGCTCCGGAGCTTGCGGGGCGCCGGGAGGCCGTGAGGGAGAGGGGTTTTGAAGGGGGGAGGGGCGGCGGAATGGGCGGAGGGGGGGGGAGGAGGAGGAGGAGGAGGAGGAGGAGGAGGAGGAGGAGGAGGAGGGGGAGGAGGAGGAGGACCTGAGTACGTAGGTCTAAGGTGTATTCACGATGCTGACATGCGCTCTCCCGTCCCAGATCCTCTCCTCCTTCGTCCCTACAGGCGACCTGTCTCACTGCGCGACGCACGCCCCTTGAAAGACGAGCGTCCCATGGGCCCGCAATGCGGGCGGGAGCTCCGATTGGGAACAAAATGCCGTCGTCCTTCGAGCCATGAATCAGAGGAGGAACAGGCACCGATACTGTGACCCTTCGCGCGTTTTCTTATTTTCCGGCCTCCAGAGAGGCCCTCGTCGCCACCGCTGGATTCGCCTCGAAATCTTGGTGAGAGCACCCTCTGGGAGAGGTCAGAATTTCATAGCAAGAAGGGGGTGGTCTGACTTTTTGGGGGGTCTGAGTTGATCTGTCTTGGAGAGTTCCGCGGGGTCTGGGCCAAAGGCCGCTCTCTCATGGCTGGTCTTGGGGGGGGTCTAAAACTGCTTGTCGGGGAGGGTTGTGATCCCCACCTATTGATTTCTAGAATTTTGGAGTACTTTTTTTTTGTCGGGGAGGGTAGTGACCCCCTCCCTTTGATTTTGACATTTGGAGTCCTTTTCTCTTGCCTTCCCCGACAAAGGATGCGACAGGGTGGGGAGCAGAACGTGAGGGCTGGTGCCCGGCGACAGTCCCGCTCCGAGGAGGAGCCGCCCTCCATCCGAGTGGAGGAGCCGCCCTCCCTCCGGGGACTTCCGGCCATGAGGTCCCCGGACAGCTCTCTGAGAGTTTTTTGTTGTTTTGTTTTGTTTTGTGTTTGTTCTTAATAAAAATTATGTTTGGTTTTGTTGTTTTCTCTCCCCCTCGCTTATTTCCTCCAAATGTTTTCAGTGTGTGTGGGTGTGAATATATATGTATATATATATGTATATATATATATATGTGATACTGGAGAAGAGCCCCAATCATAGTCTTTGTAGGGCTGTAGGGCTATGGGGCTAGCGGACTATAGGGCTATGGGGCTACGGGGCTATAGGACTATGGGGCTATAGGGCTATAGGGCCATAGGGCTATAGGGCCATAGGGCTATAGGGCCATAGGGCTATAGGTCTATAGGGCTATAGGGCTATAGGGCTATAGGGCCTATGGGGCTCTAGGGCTCTAGGCCTATAGGGCTATAGGGCCATGGGGCTATAGGACTGTAGGGCTATGGGGCTGTAGGGCTATAGTGCTATAAGGCGATAGGGCGATAGGGCTATAGGGCTATGTGACGATAGGGCTATCGAGCTATAGTGCTATGGGGCTGTAGGGCTATAGGGCTGTAGGGCTATAGGGCTATAGGGCTATAGGGCTATAGGGCTATAGGGCGTTAGGGCAATAGGGCAATAGGGCGATGGGGCTATAGGGCTGTAGGGCTATAGGGCTATTGGGCTATTGGGCTATAAGGCACCCGGGCACCCGGGCGGACCGCGGAAATCGGTGACAAACCTCACCTAACCATGTGAATCCGCTAGGACCCCTACAGAGGCAAGCTTTGGTTGTGTCATATAGAGAACAAAGAAAACATCCGTGTTCTTAATACAAGAACAGGCAAGTTGACTTGCACGGACGGGGGGGGGCAACACTCGTACGTGCGGAAATCACGCAGGTTGAACGGCACTTGCACGCTAGTTATCGTCTGACCAGATGCGAGGGTGGGGCAGGGGCGAGCGCCATGCAGGTAAACTTGCCAGAGTCTAAAATAACAGACTCTTCCCCGAGATCCTGGCGTCTCGATTTTTTCGAGCCGGGTGTTTTCGTCACGTTTCCGGCCCTGGGACCCTCACAGCTCGATCCAGCTTGAAAAGTGGCGCAGAAAGACGGGGCCTGGTGCTTTGGTCGTGATTTTCTATGATGTTTCAATTTTTTCGCGCCGTCTGATCTCAGGATTAGAAGGCCGACAGCACTTTTATGGAGTTTGGTTCAGCTTGGCCTCTGTTTCGTCCCATACGTTACGTGGTGGAGTGCAAGCGACATCTTGCCAGTCGAGGCTTTTCAGTAGAGCCTCAGGATCTCCAGCGACGTCCACTGTGGAGGGGGGGAGGGATTTCTGGCAAGCAAGGCCAGCACGCCGTCCAAACCACAGAGGAACTGCAAAAACAAAAAAGAAGCCGACAGCACTTTTACGTCGCAGCGCGGCAGAGGCAGTCCGCACGCGCGCTTAGGCGCTTCGGGCAACGGGAAGCGCAGATTAAATCGGTGGCGCGGAAGCAGCCGCGCGGCGGGAGGAGGTGAGGGGAGGGTGCTCTCATCGCGGGCGTCGCCGCGGAGCGGCCGGGCAAGCCGGCAGCACAGCGTAGCCCCGGAGTTCTTTCCGGCGCCGGGCAGGGAGCGTCGCAGCGGTTTGCTTGAAGTTGCTGCGTGTTCCCGAAGCGTTTGCCGACTCGTTCCCAAGACGCGTGGTGCAAGCCTTTCCGCAGCTCCTTCGCAGCATTTCCGGAGCTCTTCCGAAGCTACTTTCTCAAGCCTGCAAACCCCCCAAACAGCCTTTCAAGCGTTCTTGCGAGCTTCTTCCACGAACTTCCACGCGCTTCGCACTGCTCCGCTATCCGCGTTTTGGACGGCACGAGCTTCACGGAGTCTCGAGCGAGAGCCAGGTTATTTTTTGCAACGAAGCCGACCTCCATCCGTGTAGCCGCTGTGCAATGCGATGCTGTGGCGACGGGCTGGAGAAAGTCTCATGTCGGGCGTGTCCCTCTACAGGGGGATTTTCGACGAAAAACAAAACATATTCAAAAATTTCCCCAAAAGATCAAAAAATATTCGAAGAATAGTCCCCAGACTATTTTTGGATTATTTTTGGATTATTTTTGGGGTATTTCTTATTTTTCGTCGAAAATCCCCCCGTAGGGCGACCGGCCCGACTTAGAGAAAGTCTCGGGAGGGCTCTGGCGAAGAGAGCTGTGCGACCGTGCCCCGACCTTGGGCCAGGCGCACCCTGGCCCCAGGGTCGGTGCACGTGCCCTCCCGGCAAGAGGCAGGAGAGCGCATGCGCCGATCCTGGGCCCAGGCTGGGCCTGGCCAGAATCGGTGGGCGCGTAGCTTTAAGCCGGGCGTGTCCCTGTACAGTAGGAGCATCCAAAAATAGTCACAAGATAGTCAAAGGGGACCTTTGTTTGAGCACCGTTGGATTTGTTGTGGACAGTTTTCGGCAGTTCTTCACTTTTCGCCCCAAATCCCCCCGTACGGGGACGTGCCCGACCTAAGCACACTTCTCCTTCCTCTAACTCTACGGGAGCCCCATATTCTGAAGGAGCCGGTTTTCGTCCGTGCAGCGGTTGGATCTGATGCAGGCGATTGTGCGCGGCGCCGAGGCGAGAGGCCTCCGGAGAGGAGCCGCGCTCCAGCCAGACCCCCACTTCGAGCACCAGTCGCCCCCCATCTCGTCGCCCCTCGCTCATCGCTTGTTCCCCTCCCTTTCTCGCTCCCCTGTCCCCCCTTCTGTAGCGCTCCCTCTTCTCTCCTCCTCTCCTCCCTCCCGCTTAGCCTCTCCTCCCTGTCTCCTCCCTTCGTGCTCCTCTCTCTCTCACGCTTTCACGCTCTCTCTCTATTCCTCCTCCTCCTCCTCTCTCTCTCTCTCTCTCTCTTTTTTTCTCTCTATCTCTCTCTCGCTCTCTCTCTCTCTCTCCCCCCCTCTTTCTTTATCACTTTTTTTTAGCTGTCTCTCTCTCTCTCTCTCGTTCTTTGGAAGGCGGCTTCCGATGCTTCAAACTGGTGTTCCCGCTGCAGCTTCGGCTTCACTTTAGGATCGACGCTTTGCTCCCGTCGTTCAAAACAGCGCTCTCGCCCCAGCACGGGCCACAAGTCTGGATCCGAGTCCTTCATCGTCGTTGTCGCGCCTTCGACCGATCCTCCTGCTCCTCCCGCTCCTCCCGATCCTGCCCCATACTGCTGCTGTTCCTCCACGTCTTTCTCCTTTCTCGTCCTCTTCCTCTTCTTCTTGCTCATCCGCCACCTCCTTCTCCTCCTCCTCCTGAATCTCGTGGACTCCGTGGAAGCTGGTGTCGACCGCCTCGTAGATTTTCGCGACAAGGGGTGGATGCAAGAAAGCATTACCTTGTCTATGATTTCCAACTTCCAGCGCCTCTCTTCGATCCTCTCCATCCCCTGTTCTGGCACGGCTTTGCTTCAGCGTAAGTCTGAGCGCATCTTAATTATGAGCACAGCTCGGAGCCCGAGGCCGATGATTATTCGTCGTATGCAATATTTCGAGCCTCCCGTCTCCCCGAGTGTCGTAGACCAAAATCTCCTATACTTGAAGCGCCTGCACAATCTATGTGCCCCGTGCATCATGTCTGCGTGCTTGAAGGCGTGCTGTAATGCGTGGTGCACCTCCCGACGCTTCCCGGGGCCAACCCGCGACTGCCGTTGGTGCGGTTCCGAGGCGGGGGGGACGACGTTCTCCATCTTATTTGTTGCCCCTCCATCCGCACCGTCCTTGCCTTGTTCCCTCTGCTCCCTGCTGGCTTCCCCGCTTCCTCGGCCTCCTCCCGCCTCTTCCTCCTTGCTCCTGCACGGCACGGTCTCTCAGCCGACGGTCTTTTGTCTTTGGCAGTCCTCCTTGACGTGCTCTCTAACGGGTATCACACCCTCAAAGCCAAACGTGCGAGTGGGGGAGAATCCATCCTGAGATATGCCTGGGCACGGATTCGACACGCATCGGCGAGTGGTGCTCGAATCCAGGCGGTTCTCAGAAGGTAGTTTCACATGTAGTCGGGCGTGCGCCTTCGCCCATCGGTGCTTAATCCTTCGTGCCTTGCCGCACGGGTATAGCCCCCTTGAGGGAAAGCGGATTTGCCCCTGGACGGGCTCTCTTTGGGGAAATGCGTTCCTCCTCCTCCTCCTCCTCCTCCTCTTCCTCTTCCTCTTCCTCCACCATTGAACATAGCTCTCTTGTCCTGACCGATCATGATGCGATAAAGGGGTCCTCTTGAGGGCTCCAGGTCCGCTATGCCACCCGTCTGCGGATAGGGAAAAAACTTCAGCGCTCTGGGAAGGGATGATTGGGAGGGGTAGTTTTGGAAGTCATATAATGGCGCGAGCGCGCCTAGCTTTCCCCGCTCCCCTCTCCCTCCTCTCCCTTCTCCCTTCTTCTCTGCTCTCCCTTCTCCCTCTGCCTCCTCTCCCTCCTCTCCCTCATCTCCTCCTCCTCTCCCTCCTCTCCCTCCTCTCCCTCTCTCTCTCTCTCTCTCTCCTCTCCCTCCTCTCTCCCTCCTCTCCCTCCTCTCCCTCCTCTCCCTCCTCTCCCTCCTCTCCCTGCTTCCTCTCTTATGGCGAGTGCGCCTCCTGTCTCCTCCCTCTCCCTCCTTCCTCCTCCGTTTCCTCCCCTTTCTCCTCCCTTCTCCTCTTCACTGCTCCGCGACTATTCATTACGAGTGCAACTCTACTCTCTCCCCTGACAATGCGGGGCCCATGCTCCAACATGTTATCGTGGCGTTTTCTCACTCAAGAGTTCAGCATTTGGTACTCCAGATTTCGTAATAAAGGGAGGGGGTCTCATTTCGGGGGGGGTCTCTTCCAGGCTATCTTGGAGGGCCTGGGGGGTCTGGGGACGATGTTTTGGATGGTTCTCCCACGGGGGAGGTCTGAAATGGCTTGTCTTGGAGGGTCCAGACCCCCTCCCTTTTATGACGAAATCTGGAGTACTTCCCGATGCTGTTTCGCTCGCAACGTTCTCGGTCTTTCAGAAACTGTGCTCCCGCTGCTGCGCTGGCCACATCTAGGGATCGATGCTTTGCTCCCGTCCTTCAGAAGGGGCGCTCCCGCCCCACCGCGGGCCACACTTCTGGGTCCGACGTCTTCTTCGCCCTCGCCGCCCTCTCCTTTTCCCTCCTCCGTCTTCAGCTGATCCTGTTCCTCCTGCACCTCCCACTCCTTCTGCTCCTGCTCCTGCTTTTGCTGCTGCTGCTGCTTCTTTTCCTCCTCTTCTTCTTCTTCTTCCTCCTCCTCCTCCTCCTCCTCCTCCTCCTGATCCTCCCGTGTATGAAGCCAACCCTCTCTGATTCCGCCGCATCACACGGTGGGCATCGCTGCGGGGATCCAGGCCCGCTCGGACGCCCCACGGGTAAAAGCTGACTCAGCGCAGCGAGAGTGGATGGTGAGTGGTGTGGGGTGGTGTGGGGTGGGGGCGAACTGTCAGATGTGGCGCGAGCGCACCCAGCTTGCCCCTCTCCTTCCTGCCTACAGCCCGGAAGGTATCCGGCCCCCTCCGCGTATGGTTTTTTACACAGGATTCCCGCGTACTGGTTTTCGCTGGAGTTTTTTTCTCAAGATATCGCTCCCACTGAGGCGCTGGCCTCGTTTTCGGGCTTCCGCTCGTTCCGAATCGTGCTCCCGCTGCAGCGCTGGCCTCATTTCCGCGCTTCCGCTCGTTCCGAATCGTGCTCCCGCTGCAGGCGCTGGCCTTTCTTCAAAATAAGCTCCAAAATCTGGAAACTGGCCTCCCTAAAGAGCCATCAGACGTGATTACACATTCGGTGCCGATTCGTTGACTCCTTAGGCCGCAGAAGCCCCCCCCCTATGGGGCGTCGAAGTATCAAGCGGGATCCCCGTTTCTGCTTTGAGAAGGCGATGTTGAAAGCATAGCCAGCGGGTGCTTTCCATCAGCCCCGCCTTGTGCGGCCCAAGGAGCTAGACATGGAGCAACGACTCCAGACCGGCCCAGACCTCTCGGCGACGATCAATTTACCCTCTCAGGAACCTGGCGCCATGCCATGACATGCTGTGCGGTGTTGTGATCTGCGCCGCTGTGCGATGCCATGCTTTGTGTTGCAACGCTTTGTGATGCAATCATTCACTGCGCAATGCCACGCCATGCTATGGCATGCTACGCTCTGCCGTGCTCTTCTACGCTGTGTCATTCCGTCCTCGAGCATACATTCGAGTACCCTCTCGCGATCATTACCCTGCTCGACATCCGACTGTGCGAATAGAGAGGACCTCTTCGCCATGGTAAGGGATGGGCGGGAGGGGTAGGACGTCAGATATGAAGCGAGCGCACCTAGCTTGCCCTCTTCCCTCTCCCTGTTCCCCCTCCCTCGCTCTGTTCCCTCTCCCTCTTCCCTCCTCGCTTTTCCTGCCTCATCCGTTCACGCTCGCGCCTCGGACAAAAATGAGATGGTCCTCTGGCCCCGTAAACGGGGGCCGAAGGCCTCCTCCTCTTCTTCCTCCTCCTCCTCCTCCCACTTCTGCTGCCTCCCTTCCTCCCTTCCTCCCTCCCTCCCTCCTTCTTGCCCGCCTCCCTCCTTGCGGCAGGCGCCCGACGCGGCCGCCCGCGTCCCTTCGACCGCCACGCTCGCCGCGACGTCCCACCACCTGCCGCCGGCCGCCAAGTGGCCCGCGCCCGTGCCGGCCGCCGCCGCAGAGGGCTCCCCGCAGGGGCCTCCCGCTGCTGAGGCTCCGCCGCTGCGCCGCCGCTGCGCCGCCGCTGCGCCGCCGCTGCGCCGCCGCTGCGCCGCCGCTGCGCGGGCTGCGCCTGTTGCGCTGCTGGCCGCCGCGCTGCCGGCCGCCCCGCTGTCGCGTGCCGCGTGCCGCAGCGCCGCTGGCGCGTGCCGCTGCCGCTGCCGCGGGCTGCGTGTCGCGTGCCGCCTGCCGCGTGCCGCGTGCCGCGTGCCGCCTGCCGTGCGCCGCCGCCGGCGCAAACCGCGCGCGCGCGCGTCGGCGGCGGGCCCCCCTGGGGCCTCGCCGCGGCGCATAGGGCGGCCAGGCCTTTGGGGACCCTATGCGTGGCCCCCGCCGGGGCGCCCCGCCACCAAGGCTCCGATCTCCCCGGCGCGCCCGGAGAGCGTGCTGGCGGAGCTGCGGTCCGTGGAGCTGTCGTGCAAGCTGGCAGGGGAGAGCTTTGTGGACCACGAGTTTCCCGCACTGGTGTGCGGCAGGGTGACGCGGTGGTGCCGTCCACGGGAGATCGGGCATCATGACGGTCAGCCGCTCGACGCTAAGGGCTGGAGCCCTCTGCGTGCATCGAAACCGGGCTGGAAGCTGTTTCGTGGCGCTCCGCAGGCAGACGACGTCAGGCAGGGCGAGCTGGGGGACTGCTGGTTCCTGTCCTCCCTGGCGGCGCTCGCGGAGTTCGAGGAGGGCCGCTTCGTTCGGGCGCTCCTGCCCGAACAGACCGAGCTCAGCCCGGCGGGGGCCTATGTCGTGCACCTGTGCCTGGGCGGCCGCTGGCGCAGCGTGCTGGTGGACGACCGCCTGCCGTGCATCGGCGGGCAGGGTTTCTACACACAGCTGGCCTACTGCGCCACTGGCCGCCTGCAGCTGTGGGCGAGCCTGATCGAGAAGGGCTTCGCGAAGGCGTGCGGCTCGTACGAGGCCGTGAGGGGCGGCCAGGCCAACCAGGCGCTCTCGGTGCTGACGGGCTGGCCGTGCACGACCATCAACTTCGACCGGCACGGGTTTGACCCTGAGGTGCTCTGGGCTACGCTGTGCTCCTCCAAGGCGGCAGGCTTCCTCATGACGTGCTCCACTGGCTCGGGGGAGGCCCAAGGCATGGTGCCCAACCACGTGCACTCCCTCATGGACGTGGCGGACGCTAGGGATACGAACGGCAGGCTTGTCCACCTGCTGAAAATCAGGAACCCCCACGGCAAGACCAAGTGGAGGGGACCGTGGTCGCCCGGCTCGCCGGAGTGGACACCAGAGCTGCGCCGTGCGCTGGGCTGCTCGGGGGATGCCGGCTCCGGCGTGTTTTTCATGGCGCTTGACGACTTCTTGCACCTCTTCGTGCAGTGCACCATCTGCAGAATCCACAGCGAGTGGTGCGAGGTCCGGGAAGAGCTGACCCTGCCCGGCGGCTCCCAAGTCCCGTGCGCCGCGCTCGAGCTGGAGGTCTTCGAGACGACGGAGTGCGCCGTGAGCCTGGTGCAGCTGGAGGAGAGGCTGCGGGGCGGGCCTCTGTGGCAGGGAGACGTCGAGCCCCTGGCGTGCATCGGCTTCGTCCTGCTGAGCATGGGCGGCGCGGACGCCCCAGTGGCCGTGGCCGCGGCCAACTTGCGCTGCCGGGCCGCAGCCTCGGCGGAGTGCTGGCTGAAGCCGGGGATGACCTATCTGATGGCGCCGCGGGCCAGGGGGAGGCGGTCTGCGACCACCTGCGATGCCTACCCGCCTGCAGGTCCAATCGACGCTGGCCGGGGCCAGGAACATGTCCACTACTCTGTGTCATAATGTCATAATTGTCCACCACTCAGTAGCACATTCTGAGCCAAACACGCACAAACACAGGGTATTTATCTATACATCAAATTCAACGCCTGTCGCAAAAACAAACTGGCTGTCGTTTCTGCGAAGCCCCATGGGACAGGGTCCAGATACCTTCGTGTATGTCTATATATGTATATATATATATATATATATACGCGGTTCCCAGCTGGGGAATCGGACACGCCCGCAGGGGGGCGCTCGGTTGCATACGTTCTTCAAGTTCCGAGCCCCCGCCAGCGTTCTCAGAAATTTGACCTGCAGGGGTAGGGGTCACATGCGGTCGCCTGGGAGGAAATTTCGTCAAGCCTCGGATCAGTTTAGATCGCTGTGTAGCCCTGACCAGACCAGGACGGCGATTCTTTCTGAGTTTGAGCTTCCGCAGAGGCCCGTGCGTCTGGGGCCCTCAAGTGTGGCTGACGGGGCAGGATCCAGGCGAGTGTTGAAGTCGATAGATCCAGAGCCCCTTCCAAGAGGGTGACAAGGTCGACGTGTGGGCGACGCAAGAAAAACGGGATCGCTGCGCGGACATTGGTTGCGCGCAAGTGCCCTCATTCCCATGCTGCGTGCTGCGCCAGCTGC